ATGTCTGACTCAAACGAACGCGAAGAATCCACTTCGGCTCATTCTGGCGAATCTCAGCATCCCCAGTACTCGTCTCGTTGAGACGAAGAGTCTTCAAGCGGACGCACAGCGTGCTCAGCTCCTTTGGTCCGGAGAGCTCGGCAGTCTCGTCCATCTCGTGATGAGGCTGTTTCCAGCTCGAGGCGAGCTTCAGCACCGAGTACTCGCCCGCAGTCGAGCTCGAGTCGACCAGAAGAAGGCAGCGGGGCTCGTGCTACAAAGAACCTGGCCTTGACTCCTAGCCCGTCTAACCCCGGGTAAGAGACTGCTCAGTTCGAGCTAGGTGATGGCGATCGATCTAATGCTCCCGGGCTCGGAGCTAGGGTTGTTCTTCAAGGCAAGGATAACCTGCCGATCGGGTCGGACGCGGCCTCGCTTGCTGCTCTCCGTTCCTCGCATGGCGTTCCTGTGAACGTCACACTTCTTCTTCCATCACCCCAAGATCGTCCCTGGACTCCTCCCCCAGGGTACATGTGCTTGCTCGAATCTTACTTCTACGAGGGGAAGCTATGGTTTCCTCTCCCGAGGGTCTTAGTCGAGTATTGCGCTCGACGTAGGATCGCTATATCGCAGTTGTCGATCGCAGNGATCCGCAACTTGGTNGGGGTGCTGGTCCTGGCGGCCGAGGCTAATCGAAGGGTGTGCTGCGACACCCTTGAAGAACTGACGAAGTTTAACAGGTTCGGGCCGGTTGGAAGCGGCCGATTTTACCTCAATCTGAAGAACGTCCTCCTGGCATGTTCCCCCGGGAACAAGACTGCGAACTGGGAGGCTCGATACTTTTATGTGAAGATTGATCGGGCTTCAGTCGGAAAACTGGACTGGGAAATACGATCTGGGTGGAACGTTGACGTCGGTAGGGACCTTGTCTTTGCGTTTACCTTTTAGATTGTTCGACTAATATTTAATTCGTCTTTGTTTGTTCTGCAGATCGCCCCCTTCCACTGCACGCTTTTCCCCCCGGCTTCCCCCAATTGAAGGACAGGCTGCCTCTGTTTCAGTATCAGTGGTGGCCCGAGCAATTTCTGAGGGCACGGATTCAGCGAGCCCGTGCTCGCATCTTGTCAGGTAACTTTCGCGGACTTCTTCCTCGGTCTAGGTATTAGTTAAACTGGGTTTCTGACCGATCTTCTGATGTGTTTGTAGGTCGGTACGACCTTCCTCTTGCACCGGCGCTTACATCCTTCCCCCCCCCCCGCGCGGCCCGAGCAGAGAAGACTGCTACAAAGGCGAAGAGACCGACGGGGGGTGACGAAGAGGAAGAGAGAAAGAAAAAGAAGAAGGCCAAGGTTGTGGTCGCCACGCCGCCGGTTAAGCACGGCAAAAGAAAGGGGTTGATGTCCGCAAGTGCGGATCCGAATGCCAAACTGCTTAATTACCGCGACCGAATGGCGCAGCAGCTGGAAGTCTTCAAAAAGAAGAGGGAGGAAGAAGAAAGACGAAGAAGGAAAGAAGAAGAGAGAGAACGGGGACACGAGGAGTCCCCGAGGGATGACACTGAGGTCCTCCCCGCAGCGGTTCCTGACATGGTCGCTGAGGCCGTCGAACCGTCTGCCACGGGAGCGGATGAGCGAGCCTTATCCCCGGCCGTGTCTCCATCGGATCTCGTCTTTCTTAGTGTTCGTCAAGAGGAGTTGGCGCGAGCCAGACTCGAAAAACGGGCTCGATCCGATGAAGATGGGGGTTCCAGTGCAGAACGGACGAACACATGAATCCCTCCACTGGACGTGGTCGCTGGACCCTTGACTCAGGTGGATGCTCGGGAGCAACAAGGCGAGCCAGCTTCTTCTGAGTTCGACTTCGGCTTCTCTTTCAAGGGGAAAGGGAAGAGTCTGAGCGAGTTCCCCGAGTTATGTGCTGAGTACTTGAGCAGTATCAGAAGCGGGGGCAAGTTCGAGGTCGACCTTTCTGCCGAAGATGTCTTCAGCGAGAAGGTGTATTCTTCTTGGGCGCAGCAGACCGTTCAGGTATCGTTATGATCTTTTGAGTGATTTTTCTTTCTTCTGCTCGTTATTCGCTCCCTGATTGTCTTGTCATTGGTCGCAGATGGTTGCGAGCACAAACCGCATGACTCAGCATTTTGATCATTGCCTGAAGAAGGCATGCGAGCGGTTGGAGAAGCAGAAAAAGCGGCTCGAGATGAACAAGCGGACAATCGATCTGCACAAGGAATCCAACAAGGCCCTTGAGTTGAGGTTTGCAGCACTCGAGACGGCGCTCGTTGAAGAGAGGGCGGCTAATGTGGCGCTCAAGAGTAAGCTGAAGGATGAGAAGGCAAGACTGAGGAATTCTCGAGCCTTCGAGGTCACGAAGGAGAGGAGGTTGGCTGAAGAAATACTGAAGTCGCGGGTCGAGGCCAAGCTAGGGAAGCTGAAGTATTACTTCGGCGCCATGGATGAGGTCTACGCGAAGCAAACGTATCTCAACCAAGCGACNTGCTTGAAGGGGGTTTACGAAGCTGAAGAAAAAGGGGAGCTTATCTCGTCCGAACAGAAGGAGATTATTGAGAACGATCTGAAGACGCTTCCTGAAGAGACCAAAGAGATCAATATCGTGGAGATCGTTCCCACCGATTTTGTGATGATCCCGGACGAGGACAGAATGCCTCTTTCAGAAGGATCGTCCTCGCTGCACGCCTTCATGGATGAGGCCGATAGTCAGGTTGGCGACGCGGATGGAGTCGACGACCAGACCGGCGAGCCTCTTGTTCCTCTTTATCCTCCGACCAACNTTCCTGGGCAGTCTCCTCGCNCTTCTTCTTAATAATGTTTTCTTTTGTTAATGATCGGGCCGCCTGTGGCCTTGGTTTCAATTTTTGTAATCTTCGAACCTGATTTTGCTTCGGGATCGTAGGGGTCCCTTTACTTTTGTTAAGACTGAATTTGCCTCGGACTCGTGGGAGTCTTCGGCCTTATTTATATTCTAAACTTTGTTTCGGTTTTTCTTTGTTNTGCTGATCTTTTTACTCGTTCGAGATTTATTTTCTTCTGTTAGTTAGTCGTGCTCGAGGTACGTAGTTTACACGTTGAACACGACCGAAAACAAGTTCGATTGTGCTGGGCAATCTGTGGTAAAGTTCGCCGAGAGAGAGCTCGTCGGATCTTACTTAGATTTTATTGCTTGGTTGTGCGAGGCTGGACCCGGCTTAGTAACATTTCCCTCATAGCTAAGTTCGCGACACGGGTTTGGCTTACTATACTTAGTTATGTGCAAGGACTTTCCAAGCGGGATCGAGCCCGGTTTTAAGTGTCCACGAGCTCAGATTATTTCTCCGAGCTACGGGACTTGCATTCGTGGGGAACGCGATGCGGGATCAGGCCCGGCTTTTGGTGTCGACGAACTCGGA